TGGCTAACTCTCTGTTGATTATTGAGAAATATTGGGCCTCGTATAGTTGATGACTTGTCCAAGTGGGAGACTGTTGGAATAGTGTCCAAGGTCATTAACTATTGGTAATATTTCTAATAATAGCAGGGTCCTTTTGGGTTGCCCTCAAGACCCAAATTGAGTAGAATAAATAAAGGAGAAATTGGTTTATTAATTATTATAGTTAATAATTAATTAGAAACTAATTGGAAATATATTTTGGAAATATATTATGGGAATTAATTAACAGTTTAATTAATTAAAGGGTTGAATGTTCATTAATCGATAGTTGGTTAATCAGGAATGTTCCAGAACCTTATGGAATTAGGGTTGGATGAAAATCACTCCATCCCACATGGGAAAGGAGTGAAATTTAGTGGTTAGGCCTCCATCCCACATGGGAAGGAGTACTAAACTCTACGAGGCATCCAGGGCTATAAATAGGGCCTTAGGGATTTCATTCCTCCTTGCACCTTGGCTTGAAGTTTCGCCAACCCTTCTTCCTCCCCCTCTTAGGGACGATTTCTAACCCCTTTGGGTTTGTGAAATTGACCCTTCTCCTAGTTATTTTTATTCCACTCTTTGATGTCATTGGGTGTGATACCATTAGAGGGATTCTGGTTTGGATCCTTTCATCCAAGCAACTTCATGGAGGTTCAAGATCTCAAGCATGGAGATCAAGGGCTACATAAGAGGTATGTTTTCTTCTTTGTTTCTAGTTTTATAGGGTTGATGTAATTAGCATGAAGCCATAGATCCATAGGATGCATGTACACTTAGGTATATCGTTGTTTCGATTTTTCCGCTGCCTAGTTTTCATCCATGCCATAGGAGAGGTTGAATGGTTTAGTCATGTTTCCATTAGTTTCTCTTAATTCCTTTTGTTTTTAGGTTATAAATTATTATATTTTGTAGAATTAATGGTAACTTTTAAATTGTTCATATTTTTGGTTTTGAAACTGTAGGCAAAGTATAAAGTATGCATGGTAGCAATGTATTGTAAGTGTTGTTGAACTGCATCGACCATCACTTATTTCGTCTCCCTCTCTAAAATCGTCCACCATCGCTTCCGATTCTATATGTCGAAACCTAATCTACCCATCGGAATCCCTACTGTCACTCAACATTCTCTGTTAAAACCTTAGACGTTGGGTTACCACCATCATCAAGGTATGTTGGTATGCTAATGAGTTCATAACTTTTTAGTGTCGTAACAATTTCTGACCAAGAAAGGTTATAAAAGATAATATTTAGGATTTGTATTAAAATATTCGTCTTAGAAATGTCATGAGTTGTGTCTGATTCATGTTTTTGTTCAGATTTTTGGTTATAGCTATCTGACTTTTACCGGTTCACAAAATCAAAATTTGATACTTTTACAACAAACTGATTTTTTTTTCAGCTTACTGCCATCGAATTCACATACTAAGGTTCATACGTTTTTTAATTTTTCTATAGGTTAAAACAATATCTCTTCATCCATTGACTCTTTTTTTACTCGAGCGATTGCAGGTCTTCCACAATTAGTTGATTTGTTGAGATGATGAGGAAGACAAATAACCAGATTAAATGTGGCTTCTTAACTCTATCATCCTCTCTATTGCTTGCATTTATAAAATCTAGGTAAACTCTCTTTCTCTCTTTCTCTCTCTCTCTCTCTCTCTCTCTCTCTCTCTCTCTCTTTTATTGTTTAGAGAATTGTAATGGGAGGTTCACCAAGTGGTCTCAGTGGGGAGGCTGTAATGGGTTATGATTTTTAGTGGTGGAGGATAGTGGTTCGTGGTGATTAAGATGGGTTGTGATGGTGGTGGTATAAGGTTGTTTTGGTGGTGGGTATGATGGAAACAACCATGGCACCAACACTCTTCCGAAACAAGCCATAATTCCCTGTTAAGAGAAGAAATAAATCAGGTATGTGTTTCCATTTTCTTTTCTTCTGTTCATTATACATAAAAATTAGGTGTGTGTATACTGGATCTATTTACTGTGTGTTTGTGTTTAACAACTAAATTTCAAAAAGAAGGAACTAAAAGCTTAATTTTATGGCATGACTTTGGAGGAAAACAAAGTTTTCTACAATGCTATAGTTAGCGTGTGTGTGTGTGTGTATGTGTGTGTATAGCAGGGGGAAAGGGCATCTATGTGAGAGATCTGATCTCTTGGGGGGAGGGGGAGGGGGGATGATTAAGTACCATATACAATCAGAATTGTAAAAGTGTTCGCTTCATCTGCTAAGTCACATTTTTGCTAATTACTTCTTAAGAAATTCATTTGGGAAATTCCTTTTTTGATCTGTCTGATTTGAAATCTGTTGTCAATGTAGTTACATGTCTAACTTTTATTTTTATTGTGATATATAACAGTTGGACAGATATTTCTTGATCTTCCACGTGTTGCAATTTTCACTCCTAATACTCTCTTCATTTTGATCTCGACGGAAATTTAATAGCAGGTTTAATTTTTCTTATTATTTGTTTATTTACTATTTTATATTCACAAATTTCCTAATATTCGATAGGCAAGAACAGTCTCAACTGATTGTCCGTGACCAACTTTTTTTTTAATAATCAATGAAAATTTTCATCCAAGTCGGGTCAATCTATGCGTAATATTGGGTGGAAGCCTAAACCTTAAAATGTCATCTTTGTAGGTATTTTGATTTTTGATGCTTCCAGGGACTAGAAATAGATGCAAGCACAATATGGTATTAAATCTCTAAATGTTTTTATTTTTTGGAAGCCTATACCTTTCTGATTCAGCTTCAAAAATTCAAAGTCTCTGGAAACAAACATGTTAATATCACCTAATGATAATTTAGTTGAAAAGGTTAACAAATGTTGTGTTTTAATTACATATGAATGGAATGGAGACAAATGGGTAAAGGACAAGACAGATTCAAAACCCACCAGGTTTCACTTTTAGGTAAGCAATTCTATTTTTCTGCTTTCTGTATAATCATATTTGCAATGCAGGGATGTACATTTTTGGTACTCGAGTTTAATTATAATTTTTTGGTTTTGGTCCCTAAAGGAATCGGGTTACATATCAGCCCTTTCTTTTGGAGTTTTTCAATGACCGTGTTGCCCTTTAATTAGTTTTTTATAAATATTTCTTATCATGTAATGTTTAACTCATAATAAGTTCAATTCCAGAACTTAAAGCTTCGTGAGGAGTGATTGCATAGAGCACAACAATATGATGTGACGAAAGTTCGTCTTAAGGAATCAACACAAGGTTTATCATAATATGGTGTTAGAGGGTAATATTGGGGAAATATTGGTTTCTTATTTTGTAGTAAGTCAGTCACCTGTTGATGGATTACATGCACACAACCATTTCTATTTTAAATTTAAACTTATTTATAACTTTTTAAAAAATGGATATACTTTGAAAATGGAAACATGCTGTGAAAATGAAGAAATCTTAGTGGGAATCTCCTGGATGCGTTTACCTATGTCATGAAATTTTCACATAACCATTTCTATTAGCTTCAAACAGTAAAATTCTTTACACATGATAATTTAATTATATTTTAAATGTGCAGAGATTTATGTTATTGATTTGAGCTCTTCTCCATCAAATGAATACACTAAAATGAATGTCACTTTTTATTTAATGTTTTATTTATAATTTACATAACTATATATTAAATATCTCAGAGAGGCAAAATTTTGACAATCGTCCCACAATGTTTACGACCAGCCGGCCGTTGATTGAAAACATGATTTGGTCGGACATGCATTCTCTTTGAATCAATTTCGAGTTGATGAAGCCAGACGAACAATTAAACGACAATGAAGTCTACATTAAATGTTGTGTGTAAAAAAGTGTTGCACGATTAATAACGTACAATCAATCATGTGTTTCAACAGTAAACTATTTGCACAAAAGAATAATCGCCTCTAGAAACTAAATTTTGAAAAACTATTCGCACCCGTCGCTTGGCGCGGGTAGACGGCTAGTATATATATATATATATATATATATATATATATATATATATATATATATAGGTTTAGGTTCTATGGAAAACAAAAAACCCTAAAAATCATAAAAATTAATAAAAAAAATACTTAGAGATCACAAAACTTTTTTTTGAATTTTTTTTATAAAAAATCGCAGCTTTTTATTAAAATTCGCTGAAAAAAAAATCAATTTTTTTTTTCTATAAATTTTTTTTTCAGCGAATTTTTTAAAAAGCTGCGATTTTTTCACAAAAAAATTCAAAAAAAAGTTTTGTGATCTCTAAGTATTTTTTTTATGCATTTTTATGATTTTTAGGGTTTTTTTATTTTCCAAATAACCCTTTCGTGTGTCTATATATATATATATATATATATATATATATAAGAAAAACAAAAGTACAAAAGGAAGGATAAAAATCTTTTAAATGGACTAAGGATGTACATTGTAATTTTTTTAAACCACAGGGATACATCTTATCAAAGTATTAAAGATTGGACTAAATAAATACAAATCTAACAAAACTCATAAGTACAAAAAGTGTAACTTACTCTTAAATTTAGGTCGACGGGTTGAAATTTCGGTAGTCTATATTGATTTTGGATTAATTCGGACTGGACCACTTTTTAGCGGCTCAAACTTTTAAGTTTGTTTTATTCATCAACTTGAATTATTATATTATGATATAATTTTCAATAATATTTATATAACTATTTTTTTTAGAAAATTTTACACAAAAATCTTTCGAATCAACCTAATTCATACATTGTATTTACCGTTTTAACGTGAATATATTTCGTCATGTGGCATTTGAAGAATTATGAAACATTTTTACAAAAAAAAAAAAGTCATTATTTGTTTGTTCATGTATTCTTTAAATTTTCTTTTTAAGACACACGTTCCATATCAAAAACCAGTCTCTGAAAGAAAAATTATTGAAACGGATTTCTTTTTAAAGGGGCCGGAGAAAAAGAGACAGCCCGTTTTTTGCTAACCTGAATATCCTACGCTCACACACAATGCAGAAGCCTTCACCCTTAAACAAAAACCACACCCCTTTTTCAATGATGGCGCAGATATCCCACCTTCATCTCCATGAAGACGATGACGATAACGAGAATGACGACCTTCTAAACTCCCTTTCTCCTCGCAGCCATGCCTGGTCTCAAGATCTCGACGGCTTCGACGTTTCGCCTTCAGATCTCGACTTTCCTTCATCGGAATATTTCCTTTGCCGACAAAGGCGCCGCTCCGATCGGAATCCGATCCGAGTTTTAAACGGAAACAATGCTTCTATTCCATTCGATCTCGAAAACGAGGTAAATTTCGTAATCGATATGTTCCATCATCGCGTTGAGCGATCGCATTCTTCGTCGCGTGTAATGTTAGACACCGATTTGGGTGATTCTGATCGTATTGTTAGAGTTAATGATTGGAACGAGGATACCAATCCACACAATTTGGAGATGGATTTTGAGTCAGGATTAGGGTTAGGGTTTCCCGTAGAAGTTCGTAATTGTAATGACGAAGGTGATGACAATTCTGGATTTATGGTTGCTGATTGTGGTGATGAGTTCTTCGTGTCGAGGAGGACCAGCAGCAGTGGTGCTCGATCTGAATCGAGAGATCCAGCATATTTCATGAGTGGATTAAGTGTGACTGATTCCGATGAGGACCATGTAAACGAGATTATTGGTGTGGACGATGATTTCGGTGATGATGAAGCAAGTCTTAGGCTATGTTGGGATGCTTTTCAGCTAGAGGACGATGATCATTCAAGATGGGACATACCTGCACAACAACATTTTGAGTGGGAGGAAGTGGATGGTGGAGTCAACGAAAGGGAAGTGTTGACCATGTTTCTGGACGCAGAGGCTGACAATAACACCACAGTAGATGATCTCGAGTGGGAATTATTCCTGAATTCTCATAATCACGAAGCAAATCCCACTACCACAGAGGCCAATAACTACAATGAGTGGGAGGTTTTCTTGAATGTTCACAATCTTGAAGCAAATCCAGATTTAGAAGGTCAATTTGAAGACTACAATGATGCAGAACATGAGATGTTATTCGGGCAGTTTGCAGATAATGGTGACTCAGGTTTAGTTCAACCACCTGCTTCCAAAAAGGCAGTTGAGAATCTTCCATCTGTGGTTATGACTCTTGAACATGTTGAAAAAAACAACACACTTTGTGCTGTTTGCAAGGATGAAATTGGTGTTGGGGAAAAGGCAAAACAGCTTCCTTGTATTCATCATTACCATGAAGATTGCATCATTCCTTGGTTATGTATACGAAATACATGTCCAGTTTGTCGCCATGAGCTGCCAACTGATGATCCTGATTATGAAAGCAGGAAAGCAGAAAGGGTTGCTAGTTAACTCTGAAACATGACAAGGTTAGTATGGTTTTGAAGTTTTAGCATCAATACATTTAGGATGATGATTTAAGTGATTCCTCAATGTTTAAATCCAATAAAATATGCAAAGTTTGTTACTTTTGAGTTTACATTTCTTGAGCTCCATTATCTCCAGCAAGGAAGTTATATACTTTCCCTTCAACTTCAATCCAACTACAACCAACTTCTTTCTTCACCCCAATCTTCTTCATCTTTTCCCTAATCATTCTAACATCATCCCACTTTTCTAAACTTGCAAAAAGGTTCGATGACAACACATAGTTTTCTGGTTTATTTGGCTCAAGTTTTAACAACTTTTCAGCAACTTCTTTTCCCAACTCCATATTACCATGAATTCTACATGAACTAAGCAATGAACTCCAAATTCTAGCATCAGGTTCTTCAGGCATTTTAGCAACAACCATCATAGCATCAACAAAGCGTCCTGCACGACCAAGCATGTCGATTAAACATGCATAATGCTCGATTTTTGGCTCGACTCCATGAACAGTATCCATCTCATTGTAGAATTCAAGACCTTCTTTGACTAATCCACCATGGTTACATGCCATTAAAATGGCAATGAAGGTGAAATGATCAGGTTTCATTCCAAACCTTTTCATTTCTATGAACAGCTTTATGGATTCGTTTCCCTGCCCGTGAATCGCATAGCCTGCAATCAGAACTGTCCAGAGTCCAACATGGTTTTTATCTGACCGCTCGAAAACATTCCGGGCAGCTTTTATGCTGCCCGTTTTCGCATACATGTCTATGATTGAAGATATTACGAAAACGTCCCTCGTGAGGTTTTTTTTTAAAGCAAAAGAATGGATTGATTTTCCTAGCTTTAGAGCAGACAACTGTGAACAAGCGCTTAACACACTTGTGGTTGCAATCTCATACGGTTGGGTCCCACTAAACACCATTTTTCGGAAGATATTTAATGCTTTGTTTGGTTGTTTATTCTGTGAGTAACCAGCGATAATTGAATTCCATGACACTAAATTTTTATTCACCAATCTATCAAACACAAACCTTGCAGACACGAGTTTCTCACATTGAATGTAAAAAGAAATTAATGAATTACTGATATGTGAATCGGTTTCTAACCCCTTTCTAACCACAAACCCATGAGTTTGTTTACCATAGTTAAGCAACTTGAGCTCTTGAAAAGCTAAAAGCAAGCTACTGATGCTGTACAAATCAGGCTCAATCCCAAAAGATGTCATTTTAACATATAAATCTATCGCTTTTAAAGGATCACCATTTCGCACAGAGCCACTGATAAGTGTATTCCAAGAACTTACTGTTGTGTTTTTCATGAGGTTAAAAGTATTTTCACCCAAACAATATGATGACTTATGTTTTGTGTAAGCTGTAATGAAAGCATTTGCCACCAATTCGTTAGATTCAATGCCATGTCGAATTGAATACCCATGAAGTTCCTTTACCTTTAAGAGATGTGAATGATGTAAGCAAACTTTTAGGACGTTTAGAATGGTTACCTGATCGGGTTTTATTTTTTCCATTTGCATCTTGCGAAGAAGTTCAAATGTATGTCCAACTTCACCTTCTTTTGAACAACCCCAAATAATCGAATTCCAAGAAACCACATTCTTGTTTTTTATTTTATCAAGAACGATATGGGCTTCTAACATGTATCTGTTTTTCAAATACATATCCATCAATGCATTTTGCACCGTCAAATCATGATACAATCCCAGTTTCACAGCCAAAGAGTGGATGGTTTTTCCTAACAAAACGTCTCTTTCGGAAGCACAAACTGGTAGCAAAGTTACTAATGTAGCAACGTCAGGTGTCAAACTTTCTCCGGCAACCAGAAACTCCATGAACAGATGGATACTTTTTTGAGAAAACCCGTTGTCTGAGAACCCTGAAATCAATGAATTCCATGTGACCAAGTTTCTTTCAGGCATAAAGTCGAACACCTTGACTGCATCATCTACAAATCCAAACTTGGCATACATTGCAACCAACGCATTACCCACAAAGACATCTGAGATCAAATCTGTCTTCACGGCCATGCCGTGAACCACTTGTCCACACATCAAATTCGGAGCTCCGACACAAGCTTTAATCACGCAAGGCAAGGTGAAATTATCAGGTATATGCTCTGTTTGCAAAAACTGGGAAAAGACAAGAATCGCATCATCACAGAGATCGTTTCTAGTGTATCCGTTGATGATTGCGTTCCATTGATATAAGTTCTTGTTCTCTAATTGTTCGAAAACGAATCGTAAATCGGAGGGAGATCCACAAACGGAGTACATCGTGATAATTTGAGTGTTGAGGATTGAGTTGTTTCTCAAGTGCGGCGATGACCAAACCAGTTGGTGGACTTTCCGGCCGGTTTCGATGTCTTTGTCTCCACCGCATGCCTGCAATAGAATACCGGTTGCTTTGGCTGTTTCTGTAAGTTCAGAAGGCGAGTCGTGGAGCAAAGTCAGAGCTCCGGTGAGGTTTTTCAATTGGCAGAGACGATCGACCTTTTGAGACAAATGATTGGGGTGTTGTCGGGGAGGAAGCTGACAATTTGCGATGAGTTGAACGTTGGTGCTGGTCGAGTGAAGCAGAGGTGTAGGTGGATGGTGGTCTCCGACGTATAGTGGTGGTGATGATGACATCATAGCCATGGTGAAACGCTCGCCCACTTTTTTTTTTCTTGCTCTTCTAGTTGACGATAATTCCTCAAATGAAAAATAGTCCTTTTTTAATAAAATACATTTTTTTTGCGTATATTAATAAATATATTAACACAATAATTTCTCAAATTCTTGCAAATAATTTATAATGATTTCTACAGTGTTTGAGAAAATTATAAGATTGTAATTTTAAAATTTTCATAACAATATGGCCATATTTAACAAATAAGTATAAAATTATGAGAAAATGACAAAAATAGCCAAATTTCCTAATCACTTTGCGGAAAATAGCAAAAAAAAATCAATATTGCAAAAATGGCCTTCAAAATCGCAGATGGGAATGGTCCATCTGCGATTTGACTATTCCATCTACGAATGTACAAGTGGCTAAAGCACAAGTGTGTTTTAGCCACTTGTACATTCGCAGGTGGATTGAATTTTTTTTTTTTGTATATATAGGGGCTTTTCAGGGTTAAAATCGCAGATGGACTGTGTCCATCTGCGATTTACTCTGTATTCCATCTGCGAATTTGCGAAATTTTTTTAATATATATATATTTTTTTAATTTGACTATGAAATCAATTGGTTTGACTACGAAATAATGTTACTATATATAAAAACTTTTGTAGAAAATTATCAGTTTAGTTGTTATTTGTTTAGGAAATTTCTCTAAAATCTCTCTAAAAAAATGATTGAATATTTGGTTTGTCTTGTAACCGGTGGGAGATGGCAAGTTATTCAAACAAATCTGGAATACGTATGTCCACAGGGAGGTATTTCTGAATTTGCTTTGATATTTTCTGAGTATATTAGTTATAGTGATTTTGTATCTTTGGTGAGAAGCAAAATTGGTTTGTTAGACAAATATAGAATTAGTTTTCGTTTCCATCATCCTGAATTAAATTATTATATAGCTATAGTTGAAGATATGGATGTTAGAATGTTGATAAATGTAATCAAATGTAGTGGAGGAAGGGCTGTCAAAGTGTTTGTGGTGGTTGATGAAGTAGATGAGGTTAATGAGGGTGGTGACAGTGGAAATCAGCCGGTTGGTAATTTATGCAGCTATAAAGGGAGCAACGATCCGATAGGTACTTTCAATACTCCTAGTGTACCTCAGTTTCACAGTGTTGCTGAAAATGTTAATGTTAGTTATTTCACCTATTAACTATGTGGATCCTGAGAATTACAAGTATGTTGGTGATGATGATGTTGGTACATATCTTAATGATGTGGGTGGTCGTTGTGATGATGTTGTCGAACAAGAAGTTAAAGTTATGAATAGGCGTGTAGTAGATAAAAGTAAAAAGAAAAAAAAATTCGAGTCAAAAAAATGAAAAAAAGCATGTTTACGGGGATTGCCTTCTTAGTCTTTTTTATCCAATCTTCATGCTCTTTGATTTTGTTTTTATTGAGGTCTATCCATTCTTGAGCTTGTTTGCATTCCGATGCAATATCATTACCACGTTGACTGAGAAGTCGGGATGACTCTTTGTCCTCTTCTTGTTGTTCTTCGGCCTTCTTCAATTCTTCAAAATTTTCATCTGACATATATGGCCCGGCTGAAGAGGGTGTAAAAAAAGGGTCGACTGAATCACAGTAGTAACAATCTACTTCGTTGCATGAGCAAACTTCGAATTTGTGTGAGGAACTCATAATAAAGTCGACATTATAATAAACTGGTGCTATAAGTGGTATTTATACATACTAGTCTAAATGCTACCATTTCGTAGTCAGAGTTCTAATTCATAGTCCAACTTTGAAATGACTAGACATTAATGACAAATCACTGCAGTAACCTGCAAAACTGTTATGTGACAAGACATAAATGACTGTTTGACATGATAAGTCACTGCAGAAAGCTGAAAATCGTAGTCCAAATGCAATCATTTCGTAGTCAAAGTTGTAATTGATAATCCTGTATTTATTTATATAAATAGATGTTTAAGATCTAAAAACCAAACACCGAAATCACCTAAACGAAACGAACTCCCATATTTAGAAATGTCGTCGAATGCAGCAAGTTCTTCGAATGAAAAACAAACATAAATTACTGATAAGTAAAGAGTACACAAGATACATTAGCAAGAAATCTTAAGTAAGTAAATAAAACTATTATGTTATACCACGCAACCTAAAGCCACAAAACAGAATTGAAAGCGGTTGGTATCCGTTTTCTTGATGGATGTGAAGGTATTAGGATTTGTTCTTTGTAGATTATGCAGGAACATTGGTAGCTGAGTAAAGCTTCTTTCGGTGTAAGTACTCATTTTCACAAGCAATGAAAGTGTATTATAATCATCACACAAATACAATTTTAATTATATACAAATTGGTGTTTCTCTACAGTTCATATTTCATAGTTCAACTTTTTAAATTCGTAGTCAAACCAGTTCATTTCATAGTCAAACATCACTGACCGACAAGACAAGACAATGTACTTGTATGCAGTTCATAGTTCAACTTTTTAAATTCGTAGTCAAACCACTTCATTTCATAGTCAAAGATACTTGTTTCTAATAAAATTTCTTCTATAAATGGGTGTAATGTAACTCCATTAAATTTATATGTGAAATTAATTCATATTAGATAGACTAAAAAAGGCGAATGGCATACTGTAATTGCGGAGGTGAACGTATCATTAGGATTTCGGGTACAGCTAAAAACCCAGGAAGATTGTTTTACGCTTGCCCATATATGGTATCATGTTCTTAACGTCATTTATATTTAAACCCTCGTGTTTACATGGCAACAATTGTTACTGTCAATGTTTAAATTTACAGGGACCAAAATGCGGGTTTATCAGTTGGGTTGATGAAGAGAAGGACCAATCATCTATGGTAATAGCTAAAGTAGCTAACTCTAATAAACTCTTTCAATCAGAAAATAAGAAGTTAAAGATAGCGTTGGTTTGTAGTTGGGTGTTGTTCTTGGCAGTTCTTGTTTACAAGTTGTAAGCTTTTTAATATTGTTTTGATAGTTTTGAAGTTGTTAGGTCAATAAATTGTTGTATTTGTACTTATGTTTAGAACAGTGTACTTGTAACGTTAAAACAAATGTTGTTGTCGTCCTTATGTTGTATGTATTGATAAGTTATTAGTAGGTCATTAATTTGTTGTAATTGTTGTAACGTTAAAACTAAAAATAAACTAATAATCAAATCCAACATTAATTTACATATACAAAAATATAATCCAACTACATAGGACCAAGACTCGACCCCAATAAATTTTTGCCATCCGTTGGCGAAACTCTAAAGCTGCGTTCTTTGGGTCAATAAGTTCACGTATTGGTTGACCTGAAACTAATTGCTTCATTATTCACTTCTTCAACAAAAACCTCTGTAGGTTCTCGGTTCATAAACACATGCTGCTCCAGTGCATGTAGCCGTTTCAACACCTCGTCTAGGTTGTGTTTCCCACTGCCCCTACCTCTACCATGAGAGCGACCACTGAACGACATACTAGACGAAGATTCGTCTTGTCTCCTAAAATGGTCACGTACTGGGGATGGAACTGATTTCCGTTCACCATATACATACTCTTGAAATGACATATAATAACTAGATGTCATCTCACCATCACTCGGTAACATGTTTTGTCTTGGTGGTTGTCCCTCCTAAAAAATTTAACATATTAAAAATGCATATAAAAGTATAATAATGAAGTTTATTAATAATAAAAAAATATTTATAAACCTGTATCTTTGAAAAAATCTTGTTCACATCAACCCATTTCAATTTTTTTGTCCCACTCCATCGTTTCATCCGAGGCATGTCTCTATTTTTCCTCAATACAAATCCACATGCACGAACAGCCGGAAGCATCTCATATATCCATATCTACAATTTTTACAATTATAGTAATAAAAGTTAAAATTAAAATAAAAAACATAACAATAAAACAATTTAAATATAAGTAAATTTTTATACCCTTATTGGAGCCGTAAATCCTGAGACGGAGTATTTTAAAGTTTGACGACGCTCAGGAAGTGATAAATATTTATTTATCTTGTTCCATGTATCCTCAAGGTCATCATACGTAAAATCTCATAGATAGCTACCCCAAGCGAAACTAACAAAAAAAAAATTAGTTATAATATAAATTAACATTAATAATATAAAACTTTCAACGTAAACAAAATATACCTGTTCCAGACATCCAAATTCTCAGCAAAAAAAAACCAATCTTGTGGCACCCGATCATTTATTTCTTTTCCCAAAAAACCTTCACACAAAATGTATATCAAACATACTCTAACCGCATCGGCGTCGTCAACTTCTAAGAATGGTTGATTTAAAATAAAACTTTTCAGGTCGCCGATTTTCACCGAACTATTTGTATAGTTCGGAAATAGCCGCTCACGCAATAAACATCTTTTTTTATCAGTTATTTTTTTTTTCTGACACTTTTTTCCCGATGTTTTTTGGATACTCCCCAAAATTGAAGCCGGTTATCAAACAAAACTCTTCCGGCCCATATACCATTTTCGTATCGCCTACTCTAAAATATAACAGTTTTATTCCATCTGGAGATAAAACAGCGTCCGGCCGGATCTGATGAAGAAACATTTTATGGAACAACAATTCGTCCCCTTGTAAACGAGGGACATCCAACAAATAACCAAATACGGTATCTCTAAATATGTCACGCCTGACACCATCTAACACTTCAAATACTTTCCATATATTACACCCCGAGCCTTTTAAGTTTACAATTGCTTTCACATTGAAATAATTAAAATCATGCTGCACAAAACACAAAAACATATTAGAGAACTAAACAAATATTTCGTTTTAAAATATATGATTATTAAGTGCAATAATAACATAAACAATAATAACAATGCAAATACAAATATTTAATAAATAATTTATATATTTACGATAAAAAACAATAACATACACATAGTATAACAATTTTTCAACTTAAACGACAAATATATAAACAATTTTCCAAGTTATACCACAAATATACAAACAATTTTTATC